GAGGCTGCACCGAGCCAGCCCCAGGCTGGGGCAGCCCATCCTGACAAGATCCAAGAGCTGCTCTAGGAGGTACAGCCTCCCAGGGTATTAAACACGAAGTTCAACACCATGAATGTACCTACCAAACATGTACTGCAAAGCATAAATATTTCTCCTTATAAAGAGAATTACATTAAGCTTCCAATATGCCTTCAGTTACCCTGACAGTACGCATGCCTTTCTTCACCTACAGAAAACCCAATCTTTCTTTATATCAAAAAGTACGTTTTATTGAGTTGTGGTGAAAAAAAAAATTGTTTTGCTCAAGAGAGACTTGCTAACGCTAAGAAAACCTCAGAAAGAATTCACATTTTTGACCAAAGCTGATATTAATTTAAAAGATCTGTACCGCAAACTGGGGTCTGAGCTTCCCAGGTTGAGCAGCGCGATGTTCAGTAGTGTTCCAGGGACATCCTTGGGACGAATTTTAGTGTGCTGTGGGATGGAGTCTGGTTGCGACAGCTCCCACCGTGTCCGTATATGGATGATGGACCTAACGATGGCTTCACACTCCTGATGCATGAAGGTGAGTGGTGTGCCTTGATTGGCGATGGTTAAGGTAAACTGGTTCTCATCAACAAGACATATTTCCTCAATTTCAGAGGCATAGTATATATCATTCAAAAACACCGTTTGTCCCAGGACTCTCGTTCGTTCTGCTGACGTCACCTGCACAGCTGTCGACCCAACCTTAGAAAGAGAATAGAAAAATGGTGCAGCACCTATTGTTAAGAATACAAAGAAAGAAAAGTCTGACACTTCTAATTCTATAAAGATAAAAGTATGCAATTTTATACTTCCGAAAGAGGCATACTACTAAGTTGTGATTTCTCCTCGAGGCAGGAGAGGGCATTAAGAGGGAGCGAAGTTGTATTCAAAGCCTTACAAAAATATAACAATTCACTAGGAACAGCATTAAAAGGACTTACTTTAATAGAAACTTTGGTGTCTTTATGAGCCAGTTTGAGAGCATTGTGAAACACCTTCAAGTCCTCCTCCAAAGCCAAGGTGGCTGCTGGGAGTTTCTGCTGATCATGTTCGATGTGCTCTGCCAGTTTCCCTGGAGAGTCTATGAAAATAAGCCTTTTGCTTCCTTTCAAACCTGTCAAGAGCCTTTCATGGTATTTGGTGTATTCTCTGACCCAAGAATTACAGTTATAAATAAAAACTGCTGAGACATTTTCATAAGCAAAGCCTGGAAAAACTACAAACCATTTAGAAAGAAAGTCTGTTTTAAAGCGATTACTGGGGCCAGCGTGCGTGAGGTCCACTACAATTTCATATGGCTTTGCATAGTATGGCTTCAGAGTTAGCAGTACGTGGTATATCAATAAATCTCCGTTGATCTGACCAGTCTTGAATCTGTAAGAAAACAAGACAGACGTCGTTGGGTTTGCTTTTTAGACCCACAGCACAAACATTTGAGTGGTGCATTACACACACGACTACCACACTAAACCAGAGTGATCTTTCACACAGTTCTAAAAATACCATCAACCCAAAAGCAATGACACTGGACAGGCAGCTACAGCCTAAAGGCGCCTGTTACTATTCCGTCATGGCTCGCACTCCAAACAAGTTTAGTGCCCAGTATGACCAAGCTTGACTTGGGATTTAACTCAACTTCATTTTGAAGTGCCACGCAACCTACCACAGCCAAGCAACCTCCAGACAGACAGGAGGTTTATTCAACTGAAAGGAAAAATAAAACCCATGCTGGAGAGCAACAGTGCATCAGTTGGATCAAAACTGGATTACATGAAAAGAGCTCAGAGTTTCTTTAAAAATAAAAGTAAAGTGTAAGTCCCTCTAATTAGCTTTTTAACCTCTCTAGAGATTCAAATTGTATCTGTTTTTATATGTGGAAAAATACGTTTATTTCAGAATTGAGACTAATTAAGCATCCACATACCAACTTCTTCAGAGGGTCTCAAACTCATTTCATTTGCTATACACTGCAGCACACTAACGCTTGGTGGAGTGTTTCCAAGAATGGCCAGTCCTCTGAGTAGTACATAGGATTTGCCTACAAAATAACTCTTTCCAGAAAAGCATTCAGATAATATTAAGAACCTTTTTTTCTTGTTTAATCATTCTCTGAATTTTATGAGACTGGACAGTGCATCTGCCTAAACCAAGTCTCCAGAGTTAGCATAGCACACAAAATTCTACTAGGAAGAACTAATTAAAAATCCAAGTCAACAGTAGCTCGTGAACATCCAAGGTACTTTTAAATACCTATCCCTGTTTCAAGCTAGCTTTAACGCAACTCTTTCAAGGCGAACCAACGGGCTATGGGAAGAGCTAATAAATAATGTAAGCACCTATGTAGTTCTGTGCATACTGGGACACTGCTCTTGATAACATTTGAGGTAAACCACCTAAGCGTAGGATAACTGAGGAGATAAATATCATGAACGTAGAATATTTGCCTGCCGAAGAGACTTTTTTTTCCCCGGTGCTACTTCCGGTTGTTCTGAGAGCTAATTTGGGCAAGTTGGTGTTTTTTCCCCTCCAACGTGTCATGGCACAGTTGTTGCAAAAAGGAAGTGTGTCACCTCTGTGGTTTTAGTTCTCCACTTAGAGTAAACGATGTATAATTTCAGTTACAGATTTGCTTAAAAAATACCAGCATTGTCTAAATCTACGTGCTTTACATTAATGGTCATTTGCATCCTAAGAGCAAATACATGCACAAAGGAATTTTGTTGTAAAAGGACTAAATATCTGAAACACCAATTTTCTTTTGACTACATCTTGGCAAGGTAAGTACACATTTTCCTTCTCCTATTCTAAGTTCCACTTAAACGTTTCTTAGATTTTGTAGAAAATTATATGCCGATGTATTTTTAAAGAAGTTCAAGCAACTCAGAAATAGTAATCTGTAAAAATATTATCTACAGCTGATTTAAGGAAGCTGATATAACTGTATTTTTAGTAATGTTAAAGGTTATTCATAATCAGATTCCACAGAATTAACAGTGACAGTCGCTACTTAGCTCTGTTGTTCCTATGTATTGCAGATCTTGCTGTGTACTGACAGAAGACCCTACACACAAAGGGTTGAACTAAAAAGAAAAAAACCAGCTCTTCACTGATCAGTTCCTTTGCCCTCACGATTTGAAGTGAGCCCTTAACAACATCAGTTTGTTTATTTTTAAGAAAAGCACATCTTGTCCAGAACGCTACAATTAACACTGGACTTACTGTATTCTTGGAGGGAGCAGGCAGAGAGCGAGCTGCAACTCTCGGACAGTAACATTAAGTGGTGGAGTGTATCTGTACCGGCAAACACATCTCAGCTCTGCATGTCATACAGAAACTTTATGTGAAGTGGGTGGTTTTTTACAAAAAAAGGCTTTGCTGGTTTTGCTTTTTTCCTTTTTAAAGTATGCTACAAGGCATCCTCCAGGCAACCTTTACCATATAAAGATAAAAATTCTACCTGAGCTGTAGTGGATTACTAAGACAGTTTCTAGTTCAAACTTAACGATAAGGATTCATCTCAGAATGGAGTCAAATTTTATGTTATGGGTGAACTGCAAAGGAAAAGACACATGTATCTTTTGCGGCTCCTTTGTCAGGTACGGAGAGAGGCCCATAGTTTGGTCCCTGTTTACATACCAGGCGTACCACTTCTTTCATTCTCCGGGGGGACTCCAGCAATACGAAGGACTGCCATTGGGTTTTGCAGATAGACAAGGGCACCCCTCTGATTTTGGGGAGTGAATATATTAAGTTCTTTGGTATATGATAAAAGTTAACATTGTCTGGAGTATTTCAAAATTGCCTAATCTTACAAACACGCAGATATGCTTTGTTACCTTTAAAGTAACAGCTTCAAGAACAAATGTGTTTATAAAAACAGCACTGTTACCGTTGGTCATTCTCTACAGTACTTATATTTGAACCAAATATAGTCTGTAACATTCCAAGGAAACATTTTGTTCTGTTCATAGAGACAGGTGAAAGAGAGACTTCGGCGAGATAATAAGCCTTAAACTCTGAACGTGTCTCACACGTGCAAAGTGGACGAAGCAGCAACAGTGAAGCAGTTCACTGCTCATCTGATTTGTCACTATTATTTTGAGGTTATTATCTTAGTACCAGACTGACTTAAAGAGCAGTTTCCTGCCCTCCAGACAAATTCAACAGGTACAAATTTGAATGTTACACAAATGTGAAACAGAACATACTAATGGTAATGTCATTTGCATAATGATCTCAGGCGTTTTACAGAAAATGTCACAATCTGCAGCATGTTTGTGAGAAGTACATTTGTGATAAATAGCCTTTTGTACAATAAAGCAGAAAAATTAGCAAACAAAAATTTTCCTAGGCATTTCTGAAATACTCCAGACAGCTGTGCTAAGAAACATAAACAATTAAAATGGTAAATAATAAAAAGTGAAAGCTACTGCCTCACCTACAGGAATGTTTTAGATTACGGTTTTTCACTTGACCATCTTTACAAGCGTGGCTACATTTCCCACATTCAGGGAAACACAGGAGGGTAAGAAGCAGTAATCTGTAAACTCTACACAGCTTCTCCTTTCACTGGGTAAAAGCAGAAGTGGTGAACCTAAAGTTGTAATAGAGACAGCTTTAAAGAGGAGGAACTACCACAGGGGAGGAACTACCACAGACTCTGCCTCTACATCACTGAGTAGTTACTAGGAAACACCTTCCTTTCTCTCTGTGCTCCATTTTCTTTTCTAATCTTCATATATTTGCTCTAAACCTCAACCTGTCAGAAATTCGAGACAACCTATTCTTTCAGAATGCCAAGTACTTGAACTCTTCCTCCTACATCCACTAAAAATGAGGTCAAGTTACATATTTTTTTCATCAAAAAGGCTGCTGCCTACTATTCCCTGAAAAGTCCAATTCAAACCTCTAAGAGCCAGCATTTGCTAAGCTAATATCATGATTTGTATTTTTGCAGGTGACTAAATAAGAAGATGAAGACAAAGAGACATGGTGAACCACACTTTGCCTTCCCTGTCGTGATAATCTTTTCTTTGTGTTTGCAAACAAGTGCAAACCATACTGATTATCCTAGGGTTATAAATGAAACCCAGAATCCTATCCCCCAAAACCAAAGTGGAAGCCAGAACATAACAGAAGCCGATACAAATTCTCCTCCAAGCATCAATTTCAACGGCCAAACGACTACTTTTGAAATGCAGACAAGTACCCTGCAATCCTTATCGTCAACGATGGCCCAAAATTCAACATCTTCCCCTGCTAGAAGTGCTGTTCCTGCCACTGGAGCACCTAGGAATACCAGCAAACCCAAGAATGCAATGCCAAAAGAAACATGTGAAGACAATAAGTCTCTCATACTGATTTGCTTCATTGTAATAGCAGTCCTTGTGCTTATCTGCACCTTCTTATTTCTGTCGACAGTTGTAATAGCAAACAAAATGTCGTATCTCAAAAAAAATAGGCAAGGAAAACGGAGGCCCAGGAGCAATGGTGATATTCTGGCAACTAACAGTTTCTGGCCAACTGCAGCGGGAACATGGCAGAGGATGCCTAAGGAGACAACTGGAACTGACTTGATAATGCAAGACTTCGTATCAGGGAGAGATGCTGTGATCCAAAGGAAAATCGAAGATGAAACTACTGAGAAACTCACTAAGGAAACAGATAACAAACAGGAAAAAGAACCATCAAAGTCGCACAAACCCATTTTAACCAATTTTGTACTTGAAATTTAATTTGTACTCGAGTAAAAACTCATCTTTTGCCTTTTTTACATAATTAATGAAAGCTAAGTTTTTGCTTTATAAGTAACAACATGAATTTTAACACAGGAAAGCTAAATTCAGATCTTAGGGTTTTTCCTTTTGCGATAGTGGGAATGCTGTAGCAACTTGTAGATCTAGAAGGGAGAAAGACTGTGTTAAATAGCATTCTATAAATAGCGTCAAGACCAGTTTTACTCCTTTGACCAGAAACCATGGTGATTTGAGGAGCTGAACAGGGTAAAACAAAAAAAGGACAGAAGTCTGTTTATTCTCAAAGATTGTTAGGGGAAAAAAAAAAAGGAAAGGACTGTTAGTCTAATAAATATACCATACCATAAGGTGCTACACAGGTATAACACCAAGTTGCTTTTTTAAGAAAGCCGTAATTCATTCATAACTTTGATGCAATTACTGAATCAGGAACTAGTCGCTCTCAAAACGCCCTTTCAGGTTTTTTCATCAAGAACTTCTTAAACCAGCTTAATTGCTTTTGAACCAGATTGAGATTTGCATCATATTTATTGTGTTTTGACTTTTTGTATGAATATATGAAGTCTGTATTATATGTTAGAATATGAGAACTGTTTCAACTTGTTATTTCCAATAAACTAGCAAAATTAGTTTTTAAATAACTTATGTGATACTATTTCTCTAAGTCAAAAATTACAAAAAATATTATACAAGGCATTTTGGAATATTATATTATATTACATTTGCTGAAGGACAGTAAAGGTCTTCTCTGATGACTATCTGTGGTTTCTTTCATCACAGAAACACACTCCACTTTGTCCTAACACAACCCATAAGAACATGACAAAAGTTTCCTCAAAACCACCACAACTTTTAGTTTCTTTATTCTCCTAGAGACCTCATTTTCCCATGTTTCTGGGGAGATGTCTGTGTCCGGTCTCGCTACAGCAGAGCATTGTTATTTTAAGGAAACGTGAGAAGCTTTTCACAGGCTACTTCTTGGGTTAAAGAAGATCTGTTGCACCATGGTTACCAGTGCTAAAACTGCGTAATGACAAAGCTCGAAACATCCTGTGCATCTGTAATAAACATTTTTGACACAAGAGATGGTTGTATGAGTTAGAAAGAATCAGGACGTAAGACTGAATCTCCAAGTCACCTTGCATTACATCACCCATAAACTTACCTGAAAGGGCAGGTAAAGAAGCAACAGAGAAGCAAGACGACTATCACGGAAGCCAAGAGAGCGCAAGATCTCAAAAAAATGCAACTGCCTGTGTCAAAGGTGGTTCGTGTAGTAAGGAAGATAAAGCTGGAAGGAGTTTGCAAGTTTGTCACAGAACTGGGAGTCGTTAGAAAATAAGTTCATTGGAGATGGGGGGGGGGGGGGGGGGGCCCCCACC